CTATTCGGGGAGCATCACCCGGCTCAAACCGGGCTCTTGTTTTTCCTAGGACTCATATTCTCTATGAATATAGTGAAATATTTGTTATTATACCCCCAAAAACGAAGTTTGGGGGGGTATATAGGAGTCACCCGGTGGTCGGTCGGTCGGGCGGTCGGTCGGTCGGTCCAGACGTCCGTTGCATTTTCCTTGTCCGGAGCATAACTTGAAAACTAATGGTTGGAATTCAATATAACTACATACAATGGTCAAGCACATTGAGAGGAAGTGCAGTGCACAAGAACCATAACTCGATCATGACTAATTACAGAGTTATTGCCCTTTGTTACTTTTCCTTGTCCGGGGCATAACTTGAAAACTACTGGTTGGAATTCAAAACAACTTCATAAAATTGTCAAACACAATAAGGGGAAGTGCAGTGCACAAGAACCGTAACTCTATCTAAAGTAATTACAGAGTTATTGCCCTTTGTTGCTTTTCCATTACTTTTTTTTTTGTCCGTTGCATTTTCCTTGTCCGGAGCATAACTTGAAGACTAATGGTTGGAATTCAATATAACTACATACAATGGTCAAGCACATTGAGAGGAAGTGCAGTGGGTAAGAAACATAACTCTATCTTGACTAATTACAGAGTTATTGCCCTTTGTTACTTTTCCTTTTCCGTGGCATGACTTGAAAACTACTGGTTGGAATTCAAAACAACTTCATACAATTGTCAAACACAATAAGGGGAAGTGCAGTGCACAAGAAACATAACTCTATCTAAAATAATTACAGAGTTATTGCCCTTTGTTGCTTTTCCATTGCCTTCTTTTTTTTGTCTGGACCATAACTTGAAAACTAATGGTTGGAATTCAATATAACTACATACAATGGTCAAGCACATTGAGAGGAAGTGCAGTGCATAAGAACCATAACTCTATCTAAAGTAATTACAGAGTTATTGCCCTTTATTACTTTTCCATTGCTTTCTTTTGTCCGGACCATAACTTGAAGACTAATTGTTGGAATTCATTATAACTTCATACAATGGTCCAGCACATTGAGAGGAAGTGCAGTGCACAAGAACCATAACTCCATTTTGACTTATTACAGAGTTACTGCCCTTTGTTTCTTTTCCTTGTCCAGAGCATGACTTTAAAACTACTGGTTGGAATTCAAAACAACTTCATACAATGGTCAAGAACAATAAGGGGAAGTGCAGTGCACAAGAACCATAACTCCATCTTGACTAATTACAGAGTTATTGCCCTTTGTTACTTTTCCATTGCTTTCTTTTGTCCGGACCATAACTGGAAAACTTATTGTTGGAATTCATTATAACTTCATACAATGGTCAAGCACATTGAGAGGAAGTGCAGTGCATAAGAACCATAACTCCATCTTGACTAATTACAGAGTTACTGCCCTTTGTTACTTTTCCTTGTCCAGAGCATGACTTGAAAACTACTGGTTGGAATTTAAAACAACTTCATTCAATGGTCAAGCACAATAAGGGGAAGTGCAGTGCACAAGAACCATAACTTCATCTTGACTAATTACAGAGTTATTGTCCTGTGTTACTTTTCCTTGTCCAGAGCATAACTTGAAAACTACTGTTTGGAATTCAGTACAACTTCATACAGTTGTCAAGGACATTCAAAGGAAGTGCAGTGCACAAGAGCCATAACTCCATTTTGACAAAATACAGAGTTACTGCCCTTTGATACTTTTCCTTGTCCGCAGCATAACTTAAAACGTACTGGTTGGAATCGAAAACAACTTCATACAATGGTCAAGCACAATAAGAGGAAGTGCAGTGCATAAGAACTATAACTCTATCTTCAGTATTTATAGAGTTATTGCCCTTTGTTCTTTTTCTTTGTCTTTCTGGACTTATTACAGAGTAATTCAATTAAACTTCATCAATGGCCAACCACATTGAAAGGAAATGCAACATACATGAACCACAGTTATCTTTAATTGCCCACAACCATAACTCTATGTTTCAATTCTTTTACAAGGTATTCTGTTACTAGTAACATCCTCATTTCGGATGCAGACTTGTGGGGGTATTAATCACATTTAGTGATAGTTCTAGTTTGTTTCAGTTTATTTCAAGCGTATGAGAACTGTTCAAGTGAGAAAGAGAAGGAAAATCTCCTGTCATCTATAAAGTGTGGGAAGACGTCTCGAAGTCTTGGTCAGGCGCAGAGTAAACAACTGTATCATTTATACAACACTTGTACACCTTTATCTTAACTAACTAAATGCTTGATTCACAAATAGGACCACAGAAGAGATTATTCAAGAAAGATAACCTAATCACCTTGAATGTATATACAAACAGATATTGAGCACTGATAGTCTCCCATTGGAAGCAGCATGTTTTTGATATGATATTGTTTTGTATTGTTGTTAACCCTTGTGAATTATCAATGATATAAGATGTATGAACATTTAAATGTGCCAAAACCTTAAATTGAAAGTCACTCAGACAAATGTTTCACTGCAAATGCAACTACCTTATGAGATTGTTAAAATCATTTTTTGTAACATTTATAATATTGGTCATAAAAGTTTAATACTTCACATTTATACTTTACATTAAAATATTTTTCTATAGCTTTGTTTTGATATAACATTACAAACTTGGCATAAGTGAACCCTTTTCATGAACCCTTTTATATTGTCATGACATGCAATCATGATTTTGAATACAGAGCTCATATCATAACCATTTAAAGATTTTTGCTGTTTTATTCACACATATTAATGTTTAACTTTACGTACACTCTGTTTATATAATGTTAAGTTAATAGCACCATTAGATATTATTTCATTAGAATGTATGTTACTGTTATTTGTTCTTTTTAAGTTTAAAAAATGTCTAAATACATTGGTATCAAATGATATTTGTTTTATTTTAATATTTCCTTTTACATATATATCAAATGAAATATGTCTGAAAAAATATCAGTGCAAGGAGACAAGAAACTAAAACAACACCAACACAGATGAATACAAACAACAAAAATCCTGAAAACATTTTAAGTACTTTGTCTGTATTTTACATAAAATAATCATCTGTATAATTTTTTAGCTCACCTGTCACAAAGTAACATGGTGAGCTTTTGTCATCAATTTTCGTCCGGCGTCCGTCTGTAGTCCGTATACTTTTACTTTAAACGATATCTCCTCATAAATTGCTAAGCCAATTTCATCCAAACTTCACAGGAATGGTCCTTTGGTGGTCACTTTTAAAAACAGTTCAAAGAATTTAATTCCATTCAGAACTCTGGTTGCCATGGCAACCGAAAGAAAAAACTTAAAATATATTCTTTTAAAAAACGCAAAGACCTAGAGCTTTAATATTTGGCATGAAACGTTTTCTAGTCAGTGTCTATCAAGTTTGTTCAAATAAAAGCCCTTGGGTCAAAATTGGCCCCGCTCCAGGGGGTCATTGCTTTTCCTTATATGTCTTTAGTAAAAACTTAATAAAATCTGTTTATAAAAAACCGAAAGAGCTAGAGCTTAAATATTTTGCATGAAACATTGTTTGATGAGTTTCTACCAAGTTTGTTCAAATAAGAGCCCTGGGGTCATAATTGCCCCCCCCCCCCCCCGGGTTCATTGATTTTCCTTATATGTATATAGTAAAAACTTAATAAAATCTTCTTTTAAAAAAACGAAAGAGCTAGGGTTAAAATATTTGGCATGAAACATTTTCTAGTGAGTGTCTATCAAGTGTGTTCAAAGAAAAGCCCTGGGGTCAAAATTAGCCCAACCCCCGGGGGTCATTCATTTTACTTATATGTCTATAGTAAAAACTTAAAAAATCTTCTTTTAAAAAACCCAAAAAGTTAGAGATTAGATATTAGGCATGAAACATCTTCTGGTGAGTCAGTGTCTACCAAGTTTGTTTAAAAAAACCTGCGGAACAAATTAACCCACCCCAGGGGTACTGATTTTCCCTATATATCTAGAGTAAAAACTTAAAAAACTTCTTTTAAATAACCCATAGAGCTAGAGCTTAGATATTAAGCATGAAACATTTCCTAGTGAGTGTCTGCCAAATTTGTTCAAATGAACACCCCAGGGTTAAATTGGCTCCACCCCTTTGTCTGATTTTCCTTATATGTCTATAGTAAATATTTAAAAAAATATTCTTTGAAAAAAGCCCAAAGAGCTAGAGCTTAGATATTTATCATGAAACATCTTCTAATGGGTGTCTACCAAGTTGGTTAAAAAAGCTCCTGGATTAATATTAGCCCCGCCCATCATGGCCCTCCTGTTTAGCCTTTTTTAGAGTTTGGTATTGTTGCGAACAAATAACTCAAAAAGAGGCCATAGTTGTATTTCATCTCTTTTTTCACCATTTTCGTTCTTAATATTTTAAATGGACTTGCCCATCTTTAAACTGGATAAGACAGTTCATCACATTTTGGGGAAATTTTCAAAATATAAACTGACTGAAAAGGGAACAGTGCAGACCATGATCAAATGACAAGAATGTACTGGCTGGTCTAGGTCTACACTAGTTGCATGCGTAGATTGAGTCGCCACAAGCAAGCTAAAGGTAAAAAAAATAAGTGTTTGTCTCTTGTCCTTGGTACTATGTCTGAAATGTTTAACATAGCAAGTTCACCCCAATTCTAAGCAAAAACGAGTTTGATATAAAATGATATATTTAATAAGTAATGTAACATACATCCTGCAGGGTAAACATTTTCGATTTACAATGTATTTCACACCTTTGGATATTTCCGGTTTTTGGAGGTAAAATTGCATTGATTTGACTCTAATTTTACGAAAATATCGTCCAGAATTTAGAAGTTCCGGAATTCAGAAGTATTATATTAATAGAAAATAGAAGGGAAAAAATCGGGACCGAAAAAATTGTTCGGTTTTTAGAAGTTTCCGGATTTCAGAAGTTCCGGAATTCGGAAGTTACACTGTAATATAATTTTTGATTTTATTGGGTTTTTTTCCGTTTGTCGGTTAAAATATTAATTTCTAAGTCAAAAAGTCCGAAATATTATAAAGCTTGGTGGTGGTGTTGTTTGTGCTCTTTATCTGTTGACGATGGCGTCTTACAAGGACACAAGTTTATCCCAGTATTCACAAGCAGATATTTCGCCCAGTGAAAAAGCTCCAATATACATTTCCCCAACACGAACTGACTTACAAGGACAGAAAATGCCTGAAGCTAAACCAAAACTGTTGGAGGAATAGATAGTGAAGATTATAGCTATAAGTCCAACCTCCATGTCAAAGTGATCTGTGATGGTATAGTTGGTAGTATTAATACGCTTCAGTTTCTTATTATTAACATCTGTGACAAGAAGAGAACCATCCTCAAGAAGGCATGAATGATATAGCCAACATGAATCATCTGACTTCACCTGTGCGCTAAAACTGCTGTGTTGTTTCACAGTATAAGCTGTTGTCCTTGGTACTTCTATCGAACTTGGTTCTTCTATGGAAATATGCCCTAATACTTCAGCTTGTTTCAAAAATTGTTTAATGTTTGCGTCCATAGTACATGCTATTTCAGTAACAGCTGACTTATTCAGCAATTTTTTAGATTCACAGGCCGTGCGAATAATTCTCTGAGCAGTTTTTATTTTCACGAATTCTTGAGCTTTATTTCCTTGAGACCTTTGTATCTTGTCTGCTGATTGTTCAAATTCATCAATACATTTATCTGATTCTTTGATGGCATTCTGTAAATCTTGTTCAATACTTCCATATTCTTTTTCAACTAACTTGACTGATTCACGCTCAAGTCTGTTCAGTTCATCCTCAAGTTCTTTCTTATAGTCTAATATAGAATCAATAGCGATTTTCTTTTGTTTCTTTATCTCAGTAATTAGATGCTGTTTCCTTTGTTTGATATCTGCAAATTGCTGCTTTTCTTCATTAAGTCCCGATATAATTTTATTTGAAAGTGGCTGCTTGTACAGCGTATCAACTTCTTCAGGAATTGAATGTATAGCCTGACATGATCTAAAAACAAGATGATTTTCCATCAAAATAAAGGTACATGTAACAGTTACAGAACCGGGATATTGTACTTTATTGTATTTCATTTATTGTTTTGATTCTTTTTATAGGTTTGTTTTCTCTGAACGAAAAGCGCTAAACATGACAGTACGATGGTGACAGTGCGAAAGTACGATGGTGACACTACGACAGTGGTGACAATACGACAGTACGATGGCGACACACAACAGGAAGATGGTAACGTCACGGTCCATAGTACTGTCGTATTGTTACTATCGTACTGTCACTGTCGTACTGTCACCATCGTAATGTCACCATCGTACTGTCGCACTGTCACCATAGTACTGTCACCATGGTACTGTCATCGTACTGTCGCCTTCCTGTTAGGCATGCGCATTATTAAATATAAACATGGAGGAAAGTTTAGCTTTTATAAGAACATCCGATACACTAGCTCTAACCTAAAACCAAAACAATTCAATTGATATTCAAACTGCTCATAAACGTGTAACGTAGGTAAACTTTATGCATATAGTATTTAACTTTAAATTTTACTATAATTACAAAACGTAGACGGCAATACGGATTCTAAGTAAAGATTTCAATCTGATGGTGGCAGTACGACAGTACGACGGCGTCAGTACGATAGTACGATGTTGACAGCACAACAGTACGATGATGACAATACGACATTACGATCGATTGTCACCATCGTACTGTCGTTTTTCGCCATCGTACTGTCGTATTGTCACCATCGTACTGTCATGCTTCGCACTTTTCGTTCTTAGACTTAACAAACGGAACACCGTATATTAATGTTTATCAAATGGCTTAGTAACCAAAAAAGGAAGAGTAATATTGTCATACAGTAATTATGACTCGGGTATTTATCAATATAAGGTGCCTTATAAGTCCATTTGGCCGGTTATAATTGCAGTTACTCTTAATTTACATACAACATATCATTGATTGTACGTATGTAACTATAGTAAATGAACTTGTTATCTTATCTTATATGAGCGATCTACACATAATGTCCTGTATATTTACCTAATAACCTGATAGTATCTTATTATTACGCGATTGTGTCTCCTTATTAGGCTATAGATGAAAAGATCTGGAAAAAAGTAGGAAAGAACAGACTATGACATAGGAACGTATCCGTAGATAATTGAAAATAAAACGTGCACATGTCTGAGAAATAATTCAAATCAATATAGTTCTTTCTAGATCATTTGATTAGCATTAATATGGTATTAAATTCGCGTTAACATGCCTTTTGTTTTCAGTTTTTATGCCGTTTGGTTAGCGTTATCACGCGTTTTGGTTCGCGTTATAACGCCTTTTGATTCGTGTTAATACGCCTTTTGATTTACGTTATTACGCCTTTTTCGGGTTATTTAACCTTTCCAATATTTTATTATCCCCCGTCGAAAAGGCGGCGGGAGATATAGAAATAGTCTCCGTCCGTCCGTCCGTCCAACCTTCCGTCCGTCCGTCCTTCCGTCCGACATTTTTGTCCGGAGCATATCTCTAAAAGTATTTGAGTAATCAACTTGAAACTTCATAGGTGGATAGACCTCATTGAGGAGGAGTGCACTACACAAGAATGATAACTCTACCCTGCATAATTTTTGAGTTATTGCCCTTTGTTATTTTTCAAAATTAATTTTTGTCCAGAGCATAACTCCAAAAGCCTATGAGATATCAACATGAAACTTCATAGGTGCATAGATCTCACTCAGGAGGTGTGCAGTGCACAAGAATGATAACTCTACCTTTCGTAATTTTAGAGTTATTGCCCTTTGTTATTTTTTAACCCTACTTTTTAACCTGAGTGGAGCATAACTCAAAAGTGTTTGAGATGTCAACATGAAATGTCATAGGTGGATAGATTTTATTGAGGAGGAATGCTGTGCACAAGAATGATAACTCTTCCCTGTACAATTTTTGAGTTATTGCCCTTTGTTCTTTTTCATACTATTTTGTCCGGAGCTTATCTCAAAAAGTATTTGAGGTATCAACTTGAAACTTCATAGGTGGATGGATCTCATTGAGGAAGAGTGCAGTGCACAAGAATGATAACTCAACCCTGCATAATTGTTTAGTTATTGCCCGTTTTTAGCTCACCTGTCACAAAGTGACAGGGTGAGCTTTTGTGATCGCTTTTCGTCCGGCGTCCGTCCGTCCGTCCGTTGTCCGTCCGTAAACTTTTACTTTAAATGACATCTCCTCATGAACCACTAAGCCTTTTTCATCCAAACTTCACAGGAATGTTCTTTTGGTGGTCACCTTTAAAAATTGTTCAAAAAATTTAATTCCATGCAGAACTCTGGTTGCCATGGCAACCGAAAGAAAAAACTTTAAATGTCTTCTTTTAAAAAAACCATAAGAGCTAGAGCTTAGATATTTGGCATGAAACATCTTCTAGTGTGTGTCTACCAAGTTTGTTCAAATAAAAGCCCTGGGGTCAAAATTGGCCCCACCCCAGGGGGTCATTGATTTTCCCTATATGCATATAGTAAAAACTTAAAAAATCTCCTTTTAAAGAAACCAAAGAGCTAGAGCTAAGATATTTAGCATGAAACATGTTCTAATGGGTGTCTTCCAAGTTTGTTCAAATAAAAGCCCTGGGGTCAAAATTGGCCCCGCCCCGGGGGTTATTGATTATCCCTATATGCATATAGTAAAAACTTAATAAAATCTTCTTTTAAAGAACTCAAAGAGCTATGGCTAAGATATTGAGCATCAAACATGTTCTAATAGGTGTCTACCAAGTTTGTTCAAATAAAAGCCCTGGGGTCAAAATTGGCCCCGCTCCGGGGGGTCATTGATTTTCCCTATATGCATATAGTAAAAACTTATAAAATCTTCTTTTAAAGAACCCAAATAGCTAGAGCTAAGATATTTAGCATGAAACATTCTCTAATGGGTTTCTACCAAGTTTGTTCAAATAAGTGCCCTGGGGTCAAAATTGGCCCCGCCCCAGGGGGTCATTGGTTTCCCTATATGCATATAGTAAAAACTTATATAATCTTCTTTTAAAGAACCCAAAGAGCTAGAGCTAAGATATTTAGCATGAAACATCCTCTAATGGGTGTCTACCAAGTTTGTTCAAATAAAAGCCCTGGGGTAAAAATTGGCCCCGCCCCAGGGGGTCATTGATTTTCCCTATATGCATATAGTAAAAAATTAAAAAATCTTCTTTTAAAGAACCCAAAGAGCTAGAGCTAAGATATTTAGCATGAAACATGTTCTAATGGATGTCTACCAAGTTTGTTCAAATAAGAGCCCTGGGGTCAAAATTGGCCCCGCCCCAGGGGGTCATTGATTTTCCTTATATGTGTAAAGCAAAAACTTAAAAAATCTTCTTTGAAAAAAAACCAAATAGCTAGAGTTTAGATACTAAGCATGAAACATCTTCTAGTGAGTGTCTACTAAGTTTGTTCTTATAAAAGCCCTGGGGTCAAAATTGGCCCCGCCTAGGGGGTCATTTATTTTCCTTATATGTGTATATAGCAAAAACTTAAAAATCTTCTTTGAAAAAACTCAAATAGCTAGAGTTTAGATATTAAGCATGAAGCATCTTCTAGTGAGTGTCTACAAAGTTTGTTCAAATGAAAGCCCTGGGGTCAAAATTGGCCCCGCCCCGGGGGACATTGATTTTCCATATATGTGTATAGCAAAAACTTTAAAATCTTCTTTGAAAAAACCCGAATAGCTAGAGTTTAGATATTAAGCATGAAACATTTTCTAGTAAGTGTCTACAAAGATTGTTCAAATAAAAGCCCTTGGGTCAAAACTGGCCCTGCCCCAGGTGTGTCATTGTTTTTAACTATATGTGTAAAGAAAAAACTTGACCAGCTAGACCTTAGATGTTTAGCATGAAACATCTTCTAATGGGTGTCTACCAAGTTTGTTCAAATAAAAGCCCTGGGATTTAAACTGGCCCCGCTCCGGGGGCCTATATACAGGTGAGCGACTTCAGGGCCATCATGGCCCTCTTGTTTTAAAAATGATTTTTACAAATAGTGGCAAACAAAAATGATAAGCAAACGTTTTGAATCAACCACTGCATAATAAGTCAGTAGTGCATTTTGCTCATAACAATAAGAAATAATCATTAAAGTTTGTATTACGAGTATTCACTGTCCATATTTAGTAATGTTTGCTGCCGTGGACATAGATTGTGCGTCGATTTTATTGCAATATGTACACGTTCATGAATGTTAGATGAAGTCAAGAAACAAAATAAAATATGAATAGAGAATAAGATACATTACTTCAGATCAAAAACTTCGATTGAATCACCACCGTCATATGTAACATACAGTCTATTCTGATTTGGGTCAAAACAAATCGAGAGATGCTCGGGTTTTGATTTTAGAATGCCCAATTTTCTTTCTGAATCTTCTCTGATCTGAGTAATACACGGTGATTTAAATCCACATGCAAACATGGTTCCTTTGCCATCTGTACAAACCGCTCTCGCATCAATCAAATCAGGATCATTGAAACTAGACACATACGACCCTTGCTTGTCGAGAGTTATTAGACCTTTGTCCATATCAGCCACATACATGAAGTCTTTGTTTGTGCTCAAACACATATGCCTTGTTTTACTGAAAACTGATTTTCCTGACTTTCCAGTTAACCTCTTTTGTATATAGGTATTTTCCCTGTCAAGTGTACAAATGGTACTTGATCCGTTAGTCATGAATAGTTCTCCATCATTATATGCCAGTCCACTACAATAGTGATCCATTTCAAGCGATCTCGTTGCTGTCATCTCGTTTGCCAGCGATATAAACTGAATGTTATTGTTTGAAAGACTTACTGCTGCTTCATCTTTACTTGTTTGACAAACTGCATTTGGCGCTGCTTCCAAACATAAATGATCTTTTACTTTTTCTGTAGTAACGTCTATTCGTTTTATATTTTTATTATTACAATCTGCAAGAAGCAAACAGCCATCGACGGTTAGGCAAGTACCAAATATTCGACAGGTCTTTTTATCTGTCGATATCTTGATATCAACATCTCTTTGCTTATTTACCGTATAGAACTCTTTAACTTCCTCATCAACACATGTGTCCCAATGATTTGGTTTGTTGAATGTAATTCTTAAGTTTGAACTCAACATGGAAAGTCTGTACCTTTACATCTGAAAGCTCCTGTAATAATTCTTTGGAGTTTTTGGCTTTAGCAATAGCCTTCTGAGCCATTTTGATAGCCAGAAAACTTTGAACTTTGTTTTCATTTAAAAATTCAAGCTTGTCCCGAAATTGTACTAGCTCATTAATATTTCCCTCTGCCTCTTTAATGGCGTTTTGTAAATTTCTTTCAGTATTTCCGTATTCTTCATCAATTTGGCGAATTGATTCTTTTTCAAGCTTGCTGAGCTCAGTCACTAATTCTGCTTTGTGGTATAACAGAATTAACTGCCAATTCCTTTTGTTCCATGAACTCGCTCAATACATCCATTGTAGCATTTCTTTGTAGCCTCTAAATCCAGTTTATCATTCGAAAGTTGTTCAATGATTTGATCAGAAGTTGAATGTTTGAATAATGAACCAATTTTTTCATCTGATATGGAGCGCAATGCCTCGCATGATCTGAAAATGCATAAGTGTATTGGTAATTACAAGTCCTTAAGCAGTTTACATCTAACCATTTCCTCCTTAATATTATATTAAAATGCTGGCATTCTTATGATTCAAGTTAAACATATGAAAGCGTTGGAATAATATAGTTTAAATGCTAACTGTATAACATTATGTTTTGCAGATGTTATGTCCTCCACAGGCGAATTTCGATTTGTTTAAGTTGTGTTTATAAGTTTGCCTTGCTTTTGTGAACTCATTTATTTCCTCTAGGGACTTGAAGATGATTCCTCATTGTCTGCCATGTTTGTTTTCGCTAAGCGGGTCCAAAATGAAAGTAGGCCAAAATTCATGTAACAACAACGCTCACAATGTAAAATGAAAAACAATTTTCAAATCACTTAAATATGGCTGGTGCGTTTTAAATGTTATGTTGTGTATATAAAAGTTCTTATATAATTACATTACATTCTACACGCATATCTTTATTTTTACTATTCGTTTAAAATTTCATATGTCATACATATTTACCTGTGGTTTGAAACATGAAATATTTCTATGACCAAATCTTCCAGTGAGTATTACAAAATTATGCTTTCTATCTCTAAGATATATAATTTATTTTTTTGACTTTAAAACAATTTTTACAACTACTGTACATGTCTTAAACAGTTACAAAATAAGTGATTAAAGTCAATCTGGAGTATTTTCATTTTATTCACCAGTCAAGAGTAACCGATACAACCCACACCAGGGGTGGTTCCATGATAACAGGTTAGGGGGCGAAAAAATAAAATAAGTACGTAAACAGTGGTAAAGCAGCACAGGGACATAATTAAAAGGAAAACATTTCCTCAGTTGCTCCATTTCAAACTCTACCTGATGTTTTGTTTATAGTGTATGTAACCAAGTGTTTATTTTAGTTCATACTTAAAAACAAACAGCAATGTATACCTGTGATTGATTGCTACGCATGTTGCACAGAGAACTTCATCATGGTTCTCACAGAATATGTCCAACAGTTTGGCCTTGTGAATTGGACATCTCTCTGTCGGATAAATCGGTAAAGATGTCAGCGTCCGTTTCGTGCGAAATTCCGATTTGTCCAACAATTTGTGTCCCCTCATTGCAGGAAATGCTTTGTGCATGTCTGTACAATGTATACAGTAATAGTCCTGGCATTCTACACAATATTTTTCCGCTTCTCGGGTTATATTTTCCCAGCACAGACACTACATTTAGTTTCTATCAACTCGTCGGATGCATTTTTACTTCCTTTAGTCGCCATTATGACCTTCAGATTAGTTAAAGTTGTCTATTCGTGTTAACAGGCTTTTAAATAAATGTTTATGAACATTTAAACGTTAAAATTTCTGTACGAGTAACACTTAATTCCGTCAATCAGATATGCAAAGAAGAATTGCGTAACAAAAAAAAAGAACCAAAATCAATTTATCGTCAATATCTCTTTATTTAAAGGAAGTAATGTTTGTGTTTACACTTATGCACCTCACTAGATAGTCAATAATATATACACGTAGTCAGGTTTTATCATTTCAAACCTTTGTTCTTGCTTTCGGGTAGGGAAAAATTTGAGAAGTTTGGTTAACGCACGTTTTTCCGTGTTATAACGTCTGCAGAGTCCCGTGGAACGGTTGGTACCGGGCTCGGGCTCCAACAGTTCCGAGGGACTCTGCAGACTTTATAACACGAAATAAACGTGCGTTGACGCTATTATAGCTTAAAATTTTCAAACAGATTCGTGATGTATAGTTTATACAAAACACAATTTGCTTGGACGGTATTTATCCAATTCTATGTTTTACGTATGCGTTTCATTTTTCCCGGGCCAACAACTTGGAAAATTCTCGGAACCGAACGAAATTTTGAATGTTAATTGATTCAACAAAGCTTGGCCTTTGGAGCTTTAATATCTCAAGAAAAAAAAACGTTACATTACTCTACCCTCTACCCAAGACAAAACATGACCCTCAGAAATTCTTAAAATGATTTCAGATTGACGGTAGAAAAAGATCAGTGACATCAGAATCGGTTGTTTTTTTTTTCAAGCAAACAAGTTTACAAAAAAATCAGGCACTAAGCATTATTCTCTCAAAGTATAAAGAGTATTTGTCAACATAAACATAAATAAAAAACATTTTCTCATATTAATTTTGTGTTATCTAGTTTTGTAAGTTAATCGGAGTGTTAAACTGAATGACAGGTAGATTCTACTGTATTTGTTTACATTGACAACTGTCCGTTTCTTAGAAAGGGTGACAACCAAGATAAGCACCGATGTCTATACGCCGTTTTTCCGGCATAGTTACTTGAATATGCGACTGAGGCCCTCGAATCAATAAATTTCAATATAACAAGAGCGCATGACTCTTTGGCAAACAGGCCAACTCGTCATTTTTTGTTTGTTTGTTTACTGGGCCCTGTATGTATTGCGCATAGGTGAAACCGGGCTATAACAAGAGCGCGTGACTATGTTAACACATGGTTTTGGTCCCGTTATAACATGGGCAAGAGGGAAAAATAGCCGATTTTATGCTATAATATTCATTATATCGTGTACAAGTCTACTTAAATGAAGTAAATTTAAAGATATACAACTAAAACAACTCTATTAAGATAAAGTACAACCAATATGACAACCTCCTGGATTAGACTCTTCTGAGTACATAATATATATATTATGAGTAAAACTTGTATAAAATAAACTAAAGAAAACGGAATGAACCTAAAACTCGTAAATATATTCCTAATTTTGACTTTCGGGATATAGCTATGTAGCATGTACGTTATTTCGTAATAGGCTTTAACTGGTTCACAATAGGAATTGTTTAAAGGCACATAATGCCCCAGAAACATTTTTTTTACTTCTTTACAAGGAAGACACGAGTTTCATAATATTTAAATAGTGGTTTTAGAGAATGTTAAATGCTAGGTAGTGATTAACGTGAAATAATTTGTCATAAAAGTAACAAAATGTAAACAAATTAGTACATGTATTTTGACTTCCACACAAATTCCCTTTAACTGTACTTATTGGTTTAATGCACGAATCTTAATTACTTGACAGTAGTTTACTTTTTAAACACTTAATTCTATGAATTTTTGTAACGCATTTACCTAGTTTTGAAGTTGGAACAGTTCGTTTGTTTCTTATCAGAATTAAATATCGTAATACAAAAGCAATATACAGTCTAGTCAACGCGGCAGTGTCTGTGTCTATACTGATGACAAAGCTAGGCTTATCACTTAAAAATTTACAATTATATAACAGCTATACGGTCTATGTTTAAGTTCATGCACCAGCTAAATGTACTCCGGCCATAGCAATAATGATAATGTTTGATTTTTTAATCAATTTATGAAAAAGAATGAAATCAGTGTATATTGAACAAGGTTTATTAACTTATGTTACGCAAGTCTCATATTATGTGATAATAACAAATACATACTCATATATATTTTCATTTAAAGAATTGTAAAAACATCACTGTTTATTTGTCTTATTCTTGTTCCTGGGTGTTCTATTTTATCATCATATATTTACCCTGTTATTAATAGTATACACTATAATACAATGAAATTTATATCAAATCATAAAAAGGTGATCTCCCGTTAACAAAACAATCAAAGGCAATAAGTGGAATCTCAGACATAGATCATTTGAGTCTCTATTTATTGATCAAGACAATTCACAAGAAAGAAAGGCATGCGTTTTTGTATCAATTCTGTATTTACCAAAAGGGTGAATGCCAAAAATGTTTCAAACTGATAAACACAATACACAAGAACGAAATTGTCTACCTAATTTACAGATTGATATGAAAGTGACAATGACAATTATGTTTCTTCTCTTTGTTATAAACTACAAAATATATACTAAAACGAAATTCCGTGCATGCTGTCAAACAATGGTCTTTTTTTAAAATGATTTTTACAAATAGTGGACAACAAAAATGATAAGCAAACGTTTTAAATCAAACACTGCATAATAAGTCAGTAGTGCATTTTGCTCATAACAATAAGAAATAATCATTACAGTTTGTATTACGAGTATTCACTGTCCATATTTAGTAATGTTTGCTGCCGAGGACATAGATTGTGCGTCCATTTTATTGCAATATGTACACGTTCATGAATGTTAGATGAAGTCAATAAACAAAATGAAATATGAATAGAGAATTAGATACATTACTTCAGATCAAAAACTTCGATTGAATCACAACCGTCATATGTAACATACAGTCTATTCTGATTTGGGTCAAAACAAATCGAGAGATGCTCGGGTTTTGATTTTAGGATGCCCAATTTTCTTTTTGAATCTTCTCTGATCTGAATAATACACGGTGATTTAAATCCACATGCAAACATGGTTCCTTTGCCATCTGTACAAACCGCTCTCGCATCAATCAAATCAGGATCATTGAAACTAGACACATACGACCCTTGCTTGTCGAGAGTTATTAGACCTTTGTCCATATCAGCCACATACATGAAGTCTTTGTTTGTGCTCAAACACATATGCCTTGTTTTACTGAAAACTGGTTCTCCTGACTTTTCAGTTAACTTCTTTTGTATATAGGTATTTTCCCTGTCAAGCATACAAATTGTACTTGATCCGTTAGTCATGAATAGTTCTCCATCATTATATGCCAGTCCACTACAATAGTGATCCATTTCAAGTGATCTCGTTGCTGTCATCTCGTTTGCCAGCGATATAAACTGAATGTTATTGTTTGAAAGACTTACTGCTGCTTCATCTCTACTTGTTTGACAAACTGCATTTGGTGCTGCTTCCAAACATAAATGGTCTTTTACTTTTTCTGTAGTAACGTCAATTCGTTTTATATTTTTATTATTACAGTCTGCAAGAAGCAAACAGCCATTGTCGGTTAGGCAAGTACCAAATATTCGACAGGTCTTTTTATCTGTCGATATCTTGATATCAACATCTCTTTGCTCATTAAGCGTATAGAAGGTGGTTAAAGGCTCTTTTGCTTCCTCTTCAACACATAAGTGTCCCAATGATTTGGTTTGTTGAATGTAGTTCTTAAGTTTAAATTCAATATGGAAAGTCTGTACCTTTACATCAGAAAGCTCTTTTAATAATTCTTTGGAGTTTTTGGCTTTAGCAATAGCCTTCTGAGCCATTTTGATAGCCAGAAAACTTTGAACTTTGTTTTCATTTAAAATTCCAAGCTTGTCCCGACATTGTACTAGCTCATTAATGTTTCCCTCTGTCTCTTTAATGGCGTTTTGTAAATTTCTTTCAGTATTTCCGTATTCTTCATCAATTTGGCGAATTGATTCTTTTTCAAGCTTGCTGAGCTCAGTCACTAATTCTGCTATATGGTCTCTAACAGAATTAACTGCCAATTCCTTTTGTTCCATGAACTCGCTCAATACATCAATTGTAGCATTCTTTGTAGCCTCTAAATCTAGTTTATCATTCGAAAGTTGTTCAATGATTTGATCAGAAGTTGAATGTTTGAATAATGAACCAATTTTTTCATCTGATATGGAGTGCAATTTGCATGATCTGAAATTGCATAAGTGTATAAATAATTACAAGTCATTAAGCAGTTTACATCTAACCATTTCTTCCTTAATATTATATTAAAATGCTGACATTTTTATGATTCAAGTTGAATATGTAAAAGCGTTGGAATAGTATAAAATGATAACAGTATAACAGTGTGCTTTATACGAGGGTTGTCCAAACAATTCGTGCACTGCAGTTATTGTCGCAAGAGTTATTGATAGAAAAACATGAATTATATATCACTTGAAGGAGAAATGTGTCTCAAATAAGAAAACAAAAGAAATAGGCGTGCAACCGGCGTGTCCTGAAAACAAATCGTCAAACTGTTACCTTGGTAACGTAATACCGGCACACGACGAAAAATTGGGTTAGTTCATTACTTTGATGCATCACTGTATTCTTTAAACACTAAATATAAACGTCAAAATTAAGGGATAAGTGTGTGTACGTATACCTGACGTCACTTGAAAATATGACGTCATTTGCCTTATTGTAAAGGTCGTAAACAAACATTTCTGTGTGGTCGTCAATACTATAATTACGTGAAAATGTCAGTCGCTAAACGTCTGGAAATACGGAAGATCATTAAATTTTGCGCAAGTATTGGTAAAACACCGACAGATATCTACAAAGAACTTAAAAAGCAAACGGGACCAATTCAGTGTCACGAAGGCTGGTTTTGTAATGGCATAAACGCTCTGTAGATGGTAGGTAGACGATGACAACCGGTCAGGCAGACCTCCGTCCGTAATGCCGGGGCATGTGACGAGGGTTGTTAAATATATACGTTCACTGGTGAATTTGTTACATGTACGTTGCATATGAACAATAAAAACTACAAAATACTGTGCATCAATCATTCCTCTAATGACAGTAAAACAAATTATGACATAAAAAGCAAATGCCACTTTACAAGCACCAGGAAATAAATACAATAACAGTAATGAACTAAACCCAATTTTTTGTCGTGTGCCGGTATTACGTTACTAAGGTAACTTAATGACAATTATTTTTCACGACACGCCGGTTACACGGCTTTTTCTTTTGTTTTCTTATTTGAGACAGATTTGCCCGTAATGTGATATATAATTAATGCAGTGCACGAATTTTTTGGACAACCCTCGAAGATGTCATGCCGGCTACAGGCGGATTTATCGATATGTTGAAGTTGCGTGTGCACAGTTTGCCTTGCTGACATAAACACGAAATTTGCTTTTGTGAACTAACTTCTTTCATCAAGGGACTTTAAATAGGTTTTATTGTTGATCTATTCAAATAAAATTCGTACAGATGATATATTTGATATTGATTATTATCTGCCTCTAATTTAATGTGTTTTTTTCATATTCAGTATAAAAATTACTTAAATATGGCTGGTGCATTTATAATGTTATTTAGTGTATATACAATTTCAAATATATTTACGTTACATTCTACACGCATATCTTTATTTTTACTATTCGTTTAAAATATCATATACACATGTCATACATATTTACCTGTGGTTGATAGCTACACATAATAAACAAACAACTTCATCATGGTCCTCACAATATAGTTCCAACTGTTGTGCTTTATGACTTGGACATCTCTCTGTTGAATCACTTGTTGAATTTTCCAATAGAGAATGATCATTACATTTATATTGATCAAGTAACGTATGTCCTTGTAAAGCAGGGAAGAACCTGTGCATACCAGAACATTGTAAACAATAATGGTCGGAACATTCCAAACAAAATGTCGTCGATTCCTTTATTATACCTTTACTTTTACAAATAGTGCACTTTTTGTCATCAAAATAATCTGATCCATTGTCACTAGCTGCCATTTTACCTATTAGAGAATGTATCTTTTTTCTCTCAAGTCATACAGTTAGGCAATAATTTGTAAAATGCAAAACTCTTCTTTTCTTCGTTATAGCAATTTACCTCCCTAACGCATTTAAAACTTAACCTTCAACGTAAATTTGTAGTAGTTGTTTATATTAGTGTAAAGTAACAATTGTCGGCGCGTTCTGGGTATGTCATGCCCCAAATCATTCGAATCCGTGTGTGATCAATGCACACAATATTATATGACAAGCGACAACAATGGTAGGATACTACGTCATCGCGCACCTGCAAACTTTTTTGTAAACCTCCCGTCGATAAAGTTATATAAATGCTCCCACTCAAACAAAATTTACCGCGTTTTCATGCTTAAAGTTAAACCAGACAGTAAAACTTTAAAGGTTTTTAAAAATTATATCATGTATTAAAGCGAGATCATTTTCATTACATGAGGTCTTCATTATTTGAACTATCTTCGGAAATTCGAATCCATATCCACTTAAACTTATTCTTCTTTGTTGCAAAAAAGGATAATTGAATAATTTGCTAAACTACTGTAATTATATCATAATCATAATGGTACGCCGTTATCGTGTTCGACTTATAAATACGTACTTTGGTTTACTTATTGCATGGTTTGGAATTTTTATAGTACAATACAATAAATAGTATAGAGCAATGCTGTATAAAATATACAGTGCAGTGCAGTAGTGCAGTGTAGTACAGTGCCATGCAGTGCAGTGAAGTGCGGTGCAGTACAGTTCAGTACAGTACAGTACAATATATAGCATAAAAGTGTGCCGTACAGAACATGAAGAATTTTCCAAGAAAACACAAATTTAGAGAAAAAAACTAATAATTAAAATAAGTATGTGACAACTTTTAACTCAAGGAGCATGTGTTTAAGTCTAACTGGCAGCACTACCATGTTTCGTCACGCGACACCAGATAGTGCTGCAAATAGACTCAAATAACTCGCTTATTTAGGGGAGTAACTGGTCCCCGATCATAAACAGGGGGTTTCATATACCAAAATGTTCGGTTGGGTCCCTAGATTACGAAATAGGATTTCATTTTTGCCATAAGTGCTGGCGGACTAAGAAATCCAAGATGGCGTCCAAGATGGCCGCCAAAAATATGAAAATAATCATTTATTATTTATTACTTAAATTTGCAAGCATTAACTTTTTAAAAAAGTTGTTTTTTTAAACATTTTGATATTAAATATATTTATTAAATTTAGTTTGAGTATCTATTAATAATGTTAGTAGAATTTTTATGATAAAAAACGATAATTTAGGCTAAATATTTCTAAAAATTGCTGTTTTTTTAAATATGTGCTTTACATTTTCTATTTTTTTCTTGCAATTCAATAATGATTTGTTTCCTTATGACTGATTTACAGGAAACAACTTTTTTTACAAACAAAATGTGCCAATGAAAGTTATCATTTTAGTATAACTTTTAAGATAATTTTGTTTTTAAGTGGGTGGGGTAAAATGGTAATTTTATTAAAATTTAAAAATACTTCAGATTACTTTATATTGACTGTCTAAAAGACTATATCTACTCCTTATTACATATTTCAGAGTCATTGCTCAATAGACAATGCCCTAGTTGTGAAATATGAGGAAAATACATGTTGTTTTTTTCAATTTAAAACCTGTGACTTAATGTTTTAACAGTCAATTTTTGCACTTTCTTTCTTTTCCCTCAAAATATTTTATACATATAAATTCTTTCTGGCATATTTTATCAGTAAATTAAACATCGAGAATTTGTTTTTCTTTCCAAAACGTGTTCTACTTTAATTGTCATTTAAGTATGTAAGTGAGTGGATGGGGGTGACATAGCAAATGTATTTAATACTATTAGGAATTTGCAATATTTAAAGATAAACAAAATTTAAAGAAATTAATGTTTGAAATTTTATTGCATCATTTTATCAAATATGTTTCAAAATGCAGTTATATTGTCACTTGTATGAAATAAGTATTTTCCATGTAAAAATAGGAAAACAAGAGGGCCTGATGGTCCTGGCTCCCTCACCTGATATATTCTGTCAGAAAAGGTCCAAAATTTTAAATTTTCAGTGTTGATTTAAAGTCAGTAATGAGGTTACATTGGGTTTGTCATTTTTTACCCTAGCTGATTTAAAAACGAATATTTGTAGAATGCCCAATGATGAATATCTATCTAAGCATGTAGCAATGTAGTTTCATAATTTCATAACTAAGACTTAAATGTATTTTCCTATATCCAAGTCAATATAAAAACTAAAGTGGACCAGGGTAGGGTTAATTTTGGACCCCACAGCCATGGTTTATATATTTTTGTAGAGTCCTTTTCAAAGAAACATCAGGCATGCACTGGAGTCAAAAAGTCCACACTTAATAAAGGTTATTTAAGTTTAGCAGAGTTACATGTACATGTTAAAACATATTTTAAGCTTTTTATGTAAAATTACAATGCCAAGGCTTTTGATATTTGGCATGGTATTATTGCTTAGTGGTGCATAATACAAATGTTTGACCTCTTAAAAATGACAACCTATAATGTGGCCTTATTACTGACTTTTGAATCGCAGAATTGTGACCTTTTCCAGTAAATCTTTTCTCAAGTAAACATGGACCGCAATAATGGCCTCTTTTTAATACTTATTAGCAGCTTGAACGTTGTAGATGGCGGACATGAATATATAGCAAACAGATTGCCTGCAACAACCCTTGTCCCTAAGCGGCAGGGGAGTAAAATAGATAAATTATTAGGCCTGCATGTTGAACAAAACTGATATGAAGACATTTTAGAAACGTAGATGTAAAATAATTTCACATAAAGCAAACTTTAGGAAAATAGATTGACAAAAAAATAAAGCATCACTAGAAAACTTTTTTCAATAAAAGTCGAACTGGTAAATACAGTAACCAATAGTTTTCCTTCATTACTCATTAAACTCATTAAAGGCGCTCAGAAACAAATATCGTTTAGAAAAGCAAAATATCTTTTACTTCTAACATAAATTATTTTATAATGTTGGAATAATGGTTTTAGAGAAGATGTTTGGTACTTGTTATCTTACGAAAGTAGCACTAAATGTAAAATAATTTGTCCATAAAAGTAGCAAAATGTAAACAAAGTAGTATTTTGGACTTCTATACAAATACTATAACTGTACTTATGCCAAAAAAAAAAAAAAAAGGAACAGAATGAAAAAGATAGTTCTTTGGTAATTAGCCAATGAGTAATTATTTGGATACTATTAAAAGAATACCAACATGAAAAAACTTTTTGAGAAATAAAAATGAAATCATTTCTGAGGCATAATGGGCCTTTAAGATTTTAACTCTATGGATATTAATTTAATTTAATCCACAAAATTGGCATCCCTTTATGCATGTCTGCTATAAGTAATCATTGTTGCCTCAAAGAGTGAAATCTATTTTTAAAATTAATTAGTATAGTTTTTCATATATTCGAGCAAGTGACCCAACAATTGTTATTTAAAAGTAAGCACAGCTAAGTGCATTTCAGAAATGATAATATCTGTAACATGCAAGCAGTTTTCGGACTGTAATATCCATCCTAAGTTTACCTAACAATAGTCGGCAACAGAGTTGCTGGGTAGCTCATGGGCCGGTTTCAGAGAGACAGATTGTTCCGATCTGACAGTCAAACAGGTTCCTTTTCTTCCATAATATATTCTATCATATTTTAAATATGGTTAACCTCAATATTAACGTTTTCAGTGGAAATTAATGTCAATTCCATCCTTTACTAATTATTATTACAAGTTATTAATCATTTCAACATATTAAAATTTTGATTATATTGCATTTTCGAAACTTATAAATTTTGCAACATCGTAAAATATAGTATTTTCTATCGCCGCACTCATTCAGTAACGAAATATTTGATAGTGACAATTTTGTTGTATAGACATATGAAAAGAATAAGCTAAAATCTTGAATATTCGGGTGGGGCGTCCGTGGCCGAAGTGGTCGTGGCCTTCAAAATTTGTTGTTCCTCACCCACTGTGGGTTCAAATCATCCGTAGCAAGGACTATTGGATTCTTTCAATGTGAGGAAGCTATCTCAGGCTAGCTTAACGCAACATGGGTGGTTCTATCAGGATGTCCCGTTTGTGGCCCTGAAATAATGCACGGAAGGGACCTGAGGTCTTCATCTTACAGTAAAGTTGGAGCATCGCCATATAAGCTGTGACGTAAAACCGCAATCAAACAACAAAGCATAAATAATTGGTCTAAAATTTCTAACTTCATATGTTAGAAAGATATGTTGTAAAAGTTCATGAAGAAGTGGAAAGAAATAAGGAACGTGTAAATAGATTTGCTGTTTAAATTTTAAGCATTTTAAAATTGAAATTATACTTATATTCTCATAATTTCACAATTGTGCATTGTCTTATACAGCAATGACTCTGAAATTTAAGATAAATTTAGATGTAAGTCTTTTAGGTTGGTCAAAAAAAGGTTATATTAGGATACTTAGCAGTATTTTGAAATTTAAATAAATTCATCATTCCCATAACCCCCACTTAAAAATACACACTATCGCCAAAAATGTAATTAAATGAAAATTTTATGTTAGATTTTGAATTTTAACAAGAGCCACCACCCAAATTTAGTACTTTGACATGATGGTCAAGATCATTTAAGGTTAAAGTAGATCAAAAAACTTTTAGAAGTCTGTCAAAAAGGTTTGTTTTGTCCAAGTAATGAAATAATCCATTGATTAATTACCAAATTACAGGCCAATTATTTGATAATCTGTTAATATTTCAATTAAGATTTTCTTCAAAGGTCAAGGTCATTCATGAGTTAAAAGTAAATTTTAAATTTAATATTACATAAAGGTCCTGACCTAAAACGGTCTTGGAAATAAAAAGTTATCAAATTTATAACAAGTTTAAGCCAGTTACAGAAATACCAAAAATGAAACAAGAGAATTTCATTTAATTTGGACATTAACAGTCCAATGTTCAAGCTTAAGGTCAAGGCAAAAATCTTAATTATTAAATACAAATATTGGTAACAAGTTGTGTATAAATGAAATCCGTTACATAAATAACAAAAATTATGAACAATTTAAAAATTTTACTTTCACAGTCCCAAGATTATTTAAAGTTCAAGTTCAAAGTCAGTTCCACCTTTTTATTGTCATTTTAATTAGCATTTTTTGGGATAGTGTGTCCCTTGTCCAAAGTGTTGTTTTGTCAATGTATGAAGATAAA